AAATTCGAGTCTTGTTTATTCCATAAATTTTTTTCAGTGATCATCGCGCCCCAAGTTGGGTGCCATTTGTAACAGGTTCTACCATAATGAGTTGATTTTTAATTTTTAATCAAAATTTAATTATATTATTTTTAATTTGGAAGCATTATTTTTCCTACTTTTTAATTTAGAAACAAAGAGATTAAATTTGGTTAATATAAAACCTGTTATCTATTTTGATTATTCATCGAGTATGGATTTTCCCATGGCGCCAGGCCATTTTGACACGGAATGACCGAACCAAGAGATTAACATATTATGCCGACTGCTCATTTATCGTTAATTAAATTACTCATAACCGCGGAGAGGGGGACAGTAAGGATGATCACTGAACAACACTGATTTATCAAACTTGACACTGATTTATTTTTATTATTTAATCAAAAGTTGTTGATATAGTCGGCGGCAAGCCGCCTAAACAAGATTCGACTTTATTGTTTTGACAATTAGATTTGAGACTGGTCAGAGGAACAGCTCATTCGAATATTAAGGGGACTCACCGTCGATTCGACGTCTGTCTTGGAACGACCCACGACTCATTTTTAGACACAAAATTATTTTAATTTAAATTTGATTTGAATTGTCACAATTGTGACGCACACACTATGACAACCAGAACGAGAATGCATATAAAAACATGGCCGTCTTCCTAGCCACGAACGCTTCGCTTTTTCCGCGCTTCGTTTTTCTTATCGAGGTGAGTCCCAGAGGAATTATTAATCTAAAGTTCGTTGGTCAATTATCTCTCGTTGGTAACCGTCTCTCAACCGTCGGTAATTAGTTACACGTGGCGCCACATGAGCGCTGCGTACGAGCCGATGTTACGCCACCGATCCAATATGACCGGACCCAATGTTTTGACAGGTGACTTGTCGCTATCTCCGAATTCGTCTTCCTGGCACTCTTAGATAATCGGGAATCACTTCCGACTATATATGCCAGGAAGCACTTCTCACGACGACTTTAGTTGTCTGCCTTTTCCGCGAGTTGAATGTGGAGTTGACAAGAGGCGAGAGTCTTTACTCTCGCGATTATTTTCAATGAAAACAAAGAATTGGAACGATTAGATTCCCAATTTATTTACTTGAATTTAAGCATCGATGTGACGAGTTTTCAGGTGAAAATTATAAAATTTATAACATTTAACGTAATTGACAAAATTGAGCTAAATATAATTGTTTACAATTTAATAACAAAGAAAAATAAAAGAAACCAAACGGTTTGATTCCCGTTCTGGTGCTATTTAGTTTACAAATTGTTAAACTAAAATGTTATTTTGTGCACGACTAGAATAGCCGGGTCACAGTACGTACTGTAACTTACATAAATGATCAAATTTACTTAAATTACGTAAATAATCACGTTTACGTAAGTTACGTAAATTTGATCATTTATGAAAGTTTATTTAATTGCGTAACTTATTCTAGTTGCGTAACTTACGTAAGTTTGATTAATTTATCGTAATTATCTTTATTAACGTAATTTACTCTGGTCACGTAACTTACATTAATTACTTACGTTGCTCAAGTTACGTAAGTCAGGGGAAACAATTTTTCTGTGATTGACACTAAATAATTATGTTTTTCAATCTTTTGTTTTGAGTCGACACGAAACTAAACTCAGGGCCGATTTCACCACCTGTAATTAGTGTAATAATTCGTGATTAAAGTATCTTAACCATCAGAATGCGTTTCACCATAATCCAAATGATGATTAACGGAAAGTAATCACCGATTAACCTAATTGTCCAAATTGGACTCGTTTAACAACTTAAACAGCGATTTCACAGAAAAAAAATATTATTTTAACACCAAATGTGGTGTTAAAATTACACGCAACATTTTTAACTGACACCTATTGAAAATAAACACGAGTAATTATAAATGTTGATTTGGACACATGTAAATACACGAAGAAAAGTTTTTACACGTATAATAATTTTTTACATGTGTAAATACGTGTATAAACACTATTATTATACATATAAAAAAATCTGACCAATTCAAATTTCAATCAGATTCTTGAGTTTCGATAGTTTTTTGCACGCTACTAAGTGGTTTTAAATGAGCATTTGCTGTTGTAGCATTTTGAATGATGCCATCAAAAATAATCTGCCTGTTATGCATTGAGTTTTTAATGTAGCCCTGTGCAATTAAATCTGAACGCCATTTCCCTAGTTGTTTGATCATTCGCATATTTGTTCCAGAGTCAGAAAGTGGAGTAGCTGATGATCGTCTAAAACAGTCGCCTGTGTAGTTTTCAGCATTTGGAAGTTGCAAATTGGCAGCAATTTTTTGTGGAACTTCTCCAATTTTGTGCCTTCTAACAACTTGGTGTTTACATTTACCATCTTGGTACCTGAAAAAAAATCTCTCTCAAAATTCACCAGGTGGTCTCAATCCCATATAATTTTTAACTTTGTCGTAGAAGAGATTGCCAATAATGAATTGTCCCGCGTACTCATTTTTGTTGACATTCACTGACACCAAATATTTATTCCCCAAATCTTCTACATCTTCGACTTTCACGTTCGTTTTTCCATCACATCGCATGCAACCACAATTTCCAAAAATCAGTATGACCAATAAATTAAAATTAATTATTATTAAATAATTAATTAAATATTTATAATTTCTGGAGAGCACGTCACATATAATTAATTATTATTAATTAATATTAATTTATTATTATTTAAAAAGTGAATAAATAAACAATATTATTATCTTTATGAATAAATAAACAAAATCCGGAGCTTCGTTCATGAATTTCATAATTTGGTTCCATCTTAAAACGAGAGATTTTTTGGGTTTGTAACCTTTGGCATTAGTCTTTATCATACTTTTCAAGTTTAGAAAATTGCTAATATTAATATTGTCCTTTACATTTAATGTTTTTTGCAACATACTCCAGACACTCCACAATGTTGGTGGTTTTAATTTTCTTTTCAATTACTCAAAATGAACAATTAAATTGTTTTCTTCTGAATTCGACAAGGAATTTTTGTTATCTTCTCTCCATTTTTTATATGTATTGTAGACTAAAAGGTATCGATCGCATGATTTTTTCGGCAACGTTCCACTTTCAACGATAGTTTTGGCTTCTTGGTCGAAATTTCTCAAGATTTCTTTCTCGTCGGAGGAACCTTCCGAAAAGGAGTTTCCCATTTTGGAGGATTTACACGTCTTTTAATCACTATAATAGAAATTCACACGAGAACGTTTTGTTTTTCAAACGGGAAACTGCTTGAGATTTGATTACACTTCGCATATGTCACAACACAGGGGCCGTATTCTCGAATCGATGACCCTAGATGTCGCATGCGACAGACCATTCGAGATGGAAAAAGATATACTCGAACGCTTGTCGCATGCGAGATTTCATGTCGTATGCGATAATTTCCGAATGGTTCATCTCGAGTGGGTAGTGGCCATTCGAGATGCAAAGTCGTATACGAAATGCTAGTAAAAAATAAGGTTGTGTGTCATCCTTGTAATAAACGTATATAATATAAAGTAGTATTAGTGTGCATGAACCGCATGCTAAAGAAGAAAAACTATACAAAATAACCTAAATGTGTTGTTTAAGAATTAAAAGTAAACTTGTGAAATAAAAGTTTATGTAAATAATTTAAAATGGATAAATTTCACATGTTTGTGTTATTTTTGTGAATGAATCATGTGAACAATATAAAGAGTCAGAATTCCTGAAAGTAGCCACCCAAAACCTTTTAATTTTCTTTTTCGTAGTAATGTGGTTATTTTAATAGTATTTTATATAAGAAACCATAATACCAAAGGATTTTGCAAAAAAAAATTTTTTGTTAATGTTATTAACTATTGAAAATTTTCAACGTATTTAATTAAAAAATTAATTTCTCAAAAACTTATTGATCGATTTTAATGTTTCAAGTTGCATTTTACTTGTCTTGAAATAAAGTATAACTGCCATTATTTTCAAATAAAAATATTTAATTTTAGTGAAAAAAGCAATTGTTTATTTATAAACAATTAAAAATAAATAGTATTCTAGATGATTTTTTAAGTTGAAAAAATTACTAAAATGTTCTTTATAAACCAGTGAAAAATATCCCGTTGGAAAAAAATGGCACGAAGTTTTAAATTGTTTAAACTTAAGCATTTGTACCGCGGTGCAGGGCGTGACTCTGGTCCTTATTGAGCGTACCACGCGCGTGTTATCGTTCCTGCTCGCTGTAAGGACTGCGCTTCTTAAACACTTCATTTATTTAAATAATTTTGTAAATAATTTTTTTTAATGGAATATTTAATTCATTCTTCTTATTGATTGGTAAATACAGATGTTTTACGTAGTTTGTTAAAATTTTTCATTGAGGAGCAAGTTCTCAAAATCTGATAATGAATTTAAAAAAAATGTAAATAAACTTGAAGTTAATATTTTGAGAACCTTACAATAATCAACATGCCACTTTTAAATTTATGAAAATAATTTACTAAATACGAATTTTCAATTTAAATACTTTTTAAAATAACCAAGACGAATTATAATTTTCATGTTTTTTGATAGAAAAATCACCATAACCTTTAAATCACTTAATAATTTGGTAAAGTTTCATTCCAAACAGAACACCATACATACAAGAACATTATAATAAAAATAAATTATTAAAAATTTTGTATTTTAAAATTAACTGTAGACAGCGGTTATGTGAGGAAAGCTATTTGTTTCAATTTCTCTGAATAAGAAAATATGGATTATTATTACACATTTACGGTACAAGTATTTTCCACTAAAAAATTACAGTAATACCGGTACAATTTTTGTTTTTATTGTTTATTATTTTGAGACATTTACAATAAATTAATGTGAGGACAAGAATTAAAATTCAAATTGAATTTAAATATTTTTTAAAACTATTCTTTAGAAAAAGTTATTAGCATACAGGTATGAAAAATTTTAATGTTACTTATTTCTATGTTTTCCAGAAAAAATATTTTTGATCGGTTTATATTTATTTAAAAATACCAGGACCGAACGTGTGCTTTAACTCCTACAAGAAAATAAATCGTGAGTGAGTATATCTATCCCTATTAATATAAAATCATATCGCCGCCGCCGCTGTTTCAGAAAGTTTTAAGGGACCCTTATAGTAGGGGGAACATAGTCAAGGTTGGCCCACTGTCAAGGTAGGTCCATCGCCAGAAACAAGTTATATTTGACCTAAATTCAGGTCAATATAAGGGCAGTTTTTACCTACAGGTCAAAATTACACAAAATTTAGGTCAATTTTAAGGGCAGATTCAACCTACAGGTAAAAAACTAACAAACTAACCCCTCTGCCCTCAAAATTTAAGTCAATTTTAAGAGTAGTTATGACTTAAAGTTAAAAATTGACAAACTTATCGCTCTGCTTTCAAAATTTAGTTCAATTTTAAGGGCAGTTTTGACCTAAGCGTTAAAAATTGCGTTTTACTCTGCCCGTAAAATTTATGTCAATTTTAAGGGCAGATTTAACCTACAGGTAAAAAATCGACAAACAATTCCCTCTGCCCTCAAAATGTAGGTCAATTATAAGGGCAGTTTTGACCTAAACGTCAAAAATTCACAAATAATTCCCTCTGACCTCAAAATGTAGGTCAATTTTAAGGGCAGTTTTAATCTACAGGTCAAAAATTAACAAACAATTCCTTCTGCTCTCAAAATTTAGGTTAATTTGAAGGGCAGTTTTAACCTACAGGTAAAAAATTGACAAACAATTCCCTTTACCTTCAAAATGTAGGTCAATTTTAAGGGCAGTTTTGACCTTAACGGAAAAAATGGACGAACAATTTCCTTTGCCCTCAAAAATTAGGTCAATTTTAAGGTCAGTTTTCATCTACACCGCAAAAATTGTCGAAAAAACTTCTTCTGACCTGACCTTTCCTTAAAATTTAGGTCAAATTTGACATATTTTTTAGCCTATACATGAAAAAAGCAAATTAATTAGGATTTTTTAAAAAGTCGTACCCTTATATTAAAGTTTGACGGAATTTTCGACCTATTGGTTAAAAGAAGTTTGACCTAAATTTCAATATTAAGTTTCAATCAATAAAAGATGTTATAAATTGACATATGTTTTTTTAAAATTCTATTAAAATTATTTTTCTGTCCTCAAAATGTACTTTAATTTTAATGGCAGTTTTTTCCTACAAGTTAAAATTTGACCAGAAATCTCCCTCTGATCTGATATTTTCTTAAAATTTAGGTCAATTTTAAGGTCAGTTTTGACCTACACGTCAAAAATTGACAAGAAAATTAAAAGGTTTTGGGTGGCTCCTTTCAGGAATTCTGACTCTAAATTTTTTCAATTTAATCTTCGTTTCATTTTTTCTGTCTGTTCACACTTTAAAGTTAGTTTTTGTGTATGCTTTTGTTTTTTTTTCTTTACAAAATATTGTTTCACAAATTGAAAGTATGCACTTTTTCAAGATTTAAAATAAAATAATATTTAAAATTATAAAATTACAAAAAATTTTGATTAACAAATAAATTTTCTTTTTGCAAAAATAGGAAATATATCCCTTTATTATGCATAATTTTAATTTTTCAATAACAATATTGTTCACAAACTGATTCTTTTCTTTAAAAAAAAAATATTAAATATTCCAGTTTCTTAACATTTTTGTAGAAAATTCTCAATTTACAAATGCTTTAATAATATTAAAAGTTTTTTAAAAATAAGGGAAAAAATGTTGATAAATTTGTCAATTACAAATTTTAATTGAAAATTGATTTGAAAGTTTTTAAAAAATAAAGAAAAAAACTTATTTAATATCAAAAAAATGTTGTTACATTTATTTACGAATTTATTTAATTGTAAAATTATTCGTAATAATATCAGTAACTTCTATTTAAATAAATATCTGATTGTTATTATTTTTCCATTATTTTATTACTTTTAAAAATAATTTAATTTTTGTAATCATTTTGTAACGTACGTCTACAAAATTCAATGTATTTAGTGTTTTCAACTAAAATTCTTCTATAAATTCATTATTTTTAATAATTAATTAAATACCGACAGATTAGCTCAGTCGGATAGATGCCTCGCTTGGCGGTCGTTTAAGGACCAAGGGTATAGTACCCTTGGTTCGCGCCCATTTGGCTTGGTATTTTTCCGGCACGTGAGATAATCTGAGCGGGAGGTTTGACGTCGAGGTATAATGATGTGCACCGTCGATTATTGTCCGGTACACACCATTAGAACTCGACTGTCGATAAACCGGTTGTACTCAGGAGAGGTTTTCTACAGTTTCCCTCTCCACTGGCGAGAAAACCCATTAGACGGGTGGTCCAGGCAAATGCGAGTACTCCTAATTTTCAAGTCGCTCTGTAGGCGCAAAACTTAGTATTAGGAAAATGTATATAATATATAATATAAAAATATCTCTATCCAAAAATTAGTGGCACGCTTTAGAAATTTTGAGCCAATACTAACAATTTTCAAATTCGATTTTTTGACATACCTATTCTGATGTTATTTGACATCAGGAATTTAAAAATCACATTTAAAAAAAATGTCATTCCGTATGTGTGTGGGTGTGTAAAAATTGAATTTTCATAAATATGTCGAGCTTATGAAAAGCTTTAGGGATGATTTTTTTTAAATTGTAGGTCTCACGTGCGGACATAAAATTAGAGTACCGTAAGTGAGGCTAAATTCGCTCATGTAGGGTAAATTCGCTCAACAGATATCTATTTTTTAAAATTCGATTAACATACTTTTTAGACAGAAATATTTAAGATTTACAATTGTTTTGGTTAATATAAATGCTAAACTTTAATTTAAAATTTATTTACAGCAAATTTATTGGTAACTTTCAATAAAAATTATGTTTAAACCACAAGTGAATAATTTTCATATTGAACAAGTAGTATGAAAAAATAAGGAATAAAGCTTTATTTCAAAATTTTTAAGTTGAATCCTTCTAAACATTACATTTTCTGTATCTCCAACATGATTTTCATAAAGCACAAAACTAAAAGCAATAAACAGATTCTGCAAAAAATCAATTTAAAAAAAAATTCAAATTTGTTGTGTAAATTCGCTCAGGAAATAAGTCTACAAAAAAGATGTTTGGGCCTGGATATTTAAAGTATGTTAATTACTTTAATTTATAATTCGATTTTTTCAAATAATAGAACTCTTATAACTGAAAATTAGACGATTTAAAACGGTTTAAGCACTAAACTGTCAAACTTAACCTTATTTTTTATGGTTATGAGTACGTTTGATTGAATGATTGAAACTAATTACTTACTGATAAAACAATATTAAATATTTATTCCAATAACTTTGGATATTATTCTTAATGTTTTTTTTTATTAATTCTAAAGAATATTTAGTTTCATTTTTGCAGATTATAATATATTTTGCCAGAATAATAATGGTGAGCGAATTTACCCTCATTTAAAGGTAAAGTCGCTCACAAAAAAACGGCTTGTAAATAATTTTCAGCAACATATTTTAATTTCTTTATGCAGTAATAGGAAAGAGAAAGAAAGGGTTAGGCTGCGGTTACACCTCTGCAGGCTGCCTGCCTGCGCAGGCAGGAGCAACGAGAGTAAGGGAGAAGTTTGAAGTCACTGACTCTCTTACTCTTGTACGTTACCATGACAACCTGCAGGCAGGCAGGCTACCTGCAGAGGTGTAACCGCAGCCTTAGAGATTAAATATTTTCAGTGCCAACATTTATTTTCATCGTTTCCCGAAGTTATTTAAAAAAGAATTGAAAAATTGAGCGAATTTAACCTCACTTACGGTACTTTGGTGACCTTTTTGCATTTGATCTATTGAGATTTAAGAAAGTGATGATTTTTTAATTAATTCAATTTGTGAATATCTTCTATCTTATATTCGATTGAAAAATATTAGGGGAAGTGCGCCGGTTGTGGGCACCCTTACGTAAACTTCGACGACAAGCAGACTTTACTGATCTAAGTATTGCAAGTCGTGTTCGTTGACAATACGGACTTTTCGTATTGATAACGAAACAAATATATGCACGGAAAAAAAAGTTCACGAATCTCTCGTGAACTAGTATATCACTTTTGGATGGGACACCAAATTTCAAAATTTTCATTCACTTTTGATTAGAAATGGCGAACGTCAACGAAAAACTGAAACAAAGTTAATGAATTTTTGATGAACTGTTAAGGAAGAGTAGTTATTCAAAAGTAGAGGTACAAGTTCACGAAAAAATCGTGAACTCGCGAGTGTCAGTAGTATGCGCAGTTCGTAATGCGCATCAAATATGGCTGATCAAGCATTCATCATTCAGTCGGTATCATCGGTGTTTACATTCGGGAAAATTCCCGGTTGTGGGCACCTTTATGTTAAGGAGGCTCTACCATCTGACAATGATGAGGACTACTGTCTCATCTATCTAAACTTTCTGCCAAGGAAAGTGACAGCCGCAAACTCCATTAAATGCGATGAATATAGTCGTTCAGTGCATTAGAAGTGCGTTATGGTATGCGTACTAGCTACTTCACATGCAAGCATTATGCTTTTGTTAGCGATGAGCATAGTGTGAAAACGTGTCATCATTTTTGTTCTTTATCCCGGCAAATTCTCTTAAAATAAAGAAACTTTCATTTCTTCTTTATTTGTGTTGGTTTCCTTTAATATTTTTCCATTTTTAGCGGATTTTTCAAGGGTGCCCACAACCGGGTACAAAATTTTTTTTGTCAAAAAATTCCCATTTCACTAAATTTCTAATAAAACTTTTTTATTTAAAGGAATCAATTTAATTCCTTCACTGACAGTCACCTTAGACCTCTAGCTTTAAATTCGTACACATATATTTGTATAATATGCACATGGACAAATGTTATGAGGCAAAAACAAAAGGGTGCCCACAACCGGAACACTTCCCTTAATAGGAATAAAAGTTACCAACTTTTTTCACAAAATTAAAAAAATCAAAAGAATGTAAGTTTTTTAATTTTTTATAACGTTGGTATTTACATCGGTTGATGGTTTTTAAATTTTAAATTATGTTCATTATATTTATTTTATTAAATAATTTA